TTACAGTCAAGATGGGCTGGAAAGGAGTATTCCAAGTCATGAAAGGCAAGGACCTACATCCAAGATTACTCTATCCAGCAAAGCTTTCATTTAGAATGAAAGGGCAGATAAAGTGCTTCCCAGATAAGCTCAAGTTAAACAAGTTTGTCATCACCAGCCCTTATTACACAAAATGTTAAAGGGACTTACCTAAGAAAAAGAAGAAGATCAAAAATACGAATAGTAAAATGATAACAAACTGACAGCTATCAACAAATGAACCTAAAAAAAACAAAAACTAAGCAAACAACTAGAACAGGAACAGAAATAGAGACCACATGGAGGGTTATCAGCGGGGAGGGGGAAGGGGGAGAATGGAGGAAAAGGTACAGGGAATAAGAAGCATAAATGGCAGGTACAAAACAGACAGGGGGAGGTTAAGAATAGCATGGGAAATGGAGAAGCCAAAGAACTGATCTATACAACCCATGGACATGAACTAAGGTGGGAGAATGCAGGTGGGAGGTAGGTACAGGGCAGATGGGAATAAAGGGAGAAAAATAAATGGGATAACTGCAATAGCATAATCAATAAAATATATGAAATGTTTTTAAAAAGAAATCAATAACAGAAAGATACTTGTTAAAGTATAATAATCCATGGACCAAGAGGAAGTCTAAAGGGAAATTTTAAAGTATTTTGAACTGAATGAAATGAAAATACAACATATCAGAAATTGTGGGATACAAGGTTAAGAGGGAAATGTATAGCTTACATTAATGAAGAAGAAAAGTGTCAAATCGGTAACATAAGCTTTGTCCTTAAGAAATTAAGAAATTGAGGAGAAAAATAAACTCAAAGCAAGCAGAAAGAAAAAAAGATCCAAAATCAATCAAATTGAAAAGAGAAAACTAGAGGGGAAAAAAATCAAACTCAAAACTTGTTCTTTGGGAAAAAATAAAGTCAATAAACCTCTAGCCATACTGACCAAGGAGAAATAAGACACAAGTTACCAATTCCAGGATTAAAAGTGGAGCCTCCCCACCACCTCTCGGACGTCGTGGGGCAAGGAGGAAACACTAAGAACCAGCTGACGCCCACAGTTCAACAGCTCTGACGAAATGGCCCAATCCTGGAAAGACACGAGTTACCAAAATTTATTCAAGAAGATATAGTCATATATCTATTAAAGGAACTCAACTCACGGGCCCTAGAGGTTTCATTAGATGAATTCTACCTAATACCTAAAGAGGAGCTAACACCAGTTCTACAAAATCTCTCTCAGAATACAGAAGAGGGCCCACCACCCAACTTACATTAAGAGGCCAGCATTACCTTAATACTAAAACCAGACAAAGACACTATAAGAAAACTATAAACTTTACTCCTCATGAACATAGCCACCAAAACCCTCAACACAGTAACAGTAAATCAAATCCAGTAATGCATCCACAGGATAACATGTCAGGACACAATGGGTATCATCCCAGGAATGCAGAGCTGGTCTGACAACCAAAACATCAATGTCATTCACCATCTTCACAGACAACTAAGGACAAGCCAGGATGGGCTGAGCAGAGCCAGAAGAGACTGAGGCTGCAGGAGCTGAAGGGACTGTCCCCAAGGTTAGGCAGAGGGGAGCCCTGCCCTGCTATCTGGACTCTAGTCCAAGAAATACTGAAGACAAAAATGATGTCCTTGAGAACCTCACAAAATGAGTCATCCAATACAATGGCCTATATTTATTTCACCTAAAGTAATAACACCAAAAGATTTTTAAAAACAGCCCTGATAGTGTGGCTCAGTGGACTGAATGCTGGCCTGCAAACCAGAGTCACCAGTTTGATTCCCAGTCAGGGCACATGCCTGGGTTGTGGTCCAGGTCCCCAGTAGGGCCCATGTGAGAGACAACCGCACATTGACGTTTCTCTCCCTCTTTCTCCCTCCTTTCCCCTCTCTCTAAAAATAAATAAATAAAATCTAAAAAAAAATCTTTTAAAAACAATTTGTCCAGTCAACAAACATCTTGGACCAAAAGGCAATCGAGATATCCCATATCTGCCTCCAACATTGTGCTTCCAATGCTTTATTCAACCTCCCACATCACAAATGACCTCGAAGCTTCCTGAATACAGGGACACTACCTTCTAAAGACCACCATCAGGTGGGATGCATTTTACAATTCATAAAGCTCCTCTACATCCTCATCTCATTTTGATCCTCATCACAGCCCCACTCCTATCCCCGTTTTACAGATGAAGAAACTGTAGTGTACCTCTTGACACCTACAATGACTGACACCACCCATCTGCTCACAAGACCAGTTGAGTCCACATGGAAGAGGAACCTAATGATACATGTGCATAAAGGAGACCCACCTTGACTGTGTCCTGCCAGCCTGGGTTCTTTAAGAAACCAGCACCCCTCAGCCCCTCTGGAGTCATCTTCTGAGTACTGGAGGGGCTCCTGACTATGCATAGCAGGTTGGCAGTCCCTGCTCCTACCCACCCATCAGTCAGCTTGTTTCATGCTGCTGTCAAGCTGAGGAACAAGGGTCTGGAATTCCACGGTGGTGAGGGAAAGAAAAGCCTTGGTCAACGAGGCTACAGCAGGTGTACTCAGCACCCCAACAGGTGATTTTGTTAAGTTAAAAACAAAACTAAGATTCTGTACCAAATGGAACAAGTCCAGAAGATAGCTGGTTAAGGATACTGCACCCAACAGCTGCACTGTTCGGTACAACATGGTAGCCACTCGCCACATGTGGTCACTGAATACTCAGAGTGCCACATGATGAAATGGTATTTTTGATACTCTGGGTTAAATAAAATGTGTTAAAAGTAACCTCACCAATTTCTTTTTACTTTTTAAAATGTGGCTACTAGATAAGTTTAAGTTATAAATGTGACACATTGTATTGCTCTTAGATAGCTCTGGACTGGCACACTGAGATCCTGCAGCTCAGCTGCCCACAGAGTGAAGAAGAACCTCAAAGATCACTCAGGCCAGCAGCTGACATCCTTTAAAACCAGAGATTTTCACTGAGAAGGGAGGCGAGCTACCACATAAAACAAATACATAATGCTGTGTGTTGTTGTTTTACTTTTTTGAAGGGAAATCCCTTGGCAACAGGAAGCTTAACTGTACCAACAAGGGCAGCAGTGGAAAAAATGAAACATTAGTCAACTAAGGTCACAGTGGTCTGTCCCAGGTCTCCCCAGCTGCACAGGCCCATCGGGCCCCGGAGAAAAGGGCAAAGAAGCAAACACCAAGTTAATCTTCCCCTTCCGGTGGCTGACCCTCACCGCCCTCTTCTAAGTCTGGAACACAGGCTTTGCTCAGACACCCAGAGGCAGGGCCCTAATGCCCCACCAGGCCTGCCGGGGGCCCCTGGCTCCTGCATTCCCCTGGTGGCTGGAAGGCATCCCCACCTCAGATTAATGGGGAGCCCCTCTTCCACATGGGAGTCACTTGTCCACGAAGTGCCCACCCGAGCCAGGCAATGCCAAAGGTCCCTCTTCAGCATTCCAAGTGCCCTTTGCATCTGAGATTTACTGGTGTGGAAACATGAATCACAGTCCCACTGCTGACCATGCACATCCAGAGGTTCTCTAACGGCCATTTACAATTTAAGATGCTAGGAATGTCATCAATACAATCGTTCCCCCAGGGCAGCTCCCTGCAGGTGGTGATGATACAACTTGATCACCGTGCTCATCCATGGGAAGGTTCGTTCACCTTGTGATATGCCTGAGCTGTACCCATGTGATCTCTCACTCATCTGATTGCATATTATCCCTAAGGAAGAGTTTACTAAATAATAATAATAATAATAATAATAATAATAATAATAGACATCTTCCTCTCTTCTGCTTCCCACCCATCCACTTCCACCAGACCTGACCCCCTCCAGCCCTGAGCTCGCCTTCTCTTCATGCCAGAACAGTACTTCCCACCCTGAGCCCCTGCCCAGCTGACCTGCACCCAGAGCCTGTGGTCCCACTGGCTGGATCATCAGGAAGGTCTCAGACCACCCCTCACAGACAGGAAACCACTATCAGGGGATTTTAATCCCACCTCCCACCAGCTACTCCCTAAAACATGGACCAGTTTTATCTCCTTCAGAAAATGTCCTGTTTCCAGCTGCTTGTCTCCCTCACTAACATGAAGCTTAATGACAGCTGGCCCCAACTGTCCCCCAACTGTCCCCCAACTAGGTTCTCAGTAAGGATCAGTTGTATAAATGAATGAGGAGAGGGAACCTAGTTAGATTAAAGGCTGCTTCGGACAGAGATACGTCTTAGGGGTCCATGGAGAGTGGATGATTGACGAAAAATGTAAATGCAAAATCTAAGAGAAAATGCAGGAAGGAGGAAACCATTGGAATCGGGAGCCAGGGGAGAGACGCCATGAAAAGGCAAACTCTGCGGCCTACGACTTGCAAAAAGGCCGCCACCTCAGCCGACTAGATCTCCAGAAATGCGCTCCGCCCGGCCCCACCGAGCCAGATGCTTCCCCGACCCGCCCGCCAAGGAAACAAGCCATATTCCACAGCACAGCGCAAGCTTCCTGCCTAGTGGGTTAAATGGCAGCGGGGACCCTCCCAGGTCCCACATCAGCATGCTCCCACCATCCACACTCCCAAACACGCATGCCTGCTTCACTCTCACATATGTACATTTCACAGGGTGTGCTGGTCATCACAATCGCAGGCAGATTCCCGAACCCGCTCTCAGAGCAGCTCCAGCCACACACTCTCAGAGACTCACAATCTCAGGGACTCGCATCGAAACCCCTGACTATGAGACCTCACACACGCAGTCCCAGTGGCTCACTAGCAGACACACGCGCACGCTAGCCCTCGCACCAGCAGTCACACCGCCGCACTACGCCCCGCCCCCGTTGCCTAGTGACAATGGACCCGCCCACCAGGCGTTGGGGGCGGTGCCCGCAGGCCCGCAGGTACTCCGGCGCTCTGGAACCCTCTCTCTGTACTCCCGGTGGTCTAATGCGCTCAGTACCTTCCTGAACTCGATATTGTCCAGGCCTCCGCAGCAGTCGGGCCCTGCCAGGGAGCTGCTCATTGGCTCTGCTCCCGGGCCCCCAGATCCTGTCAACCAGGGGAACACCTCTGGCCAGACCACGCGGGGGCCTCGCGGCAGACACTGGCCCCCCAGGACCGGCCCCATAGCGCACGGAAAGTGCCGCCTGCCGGGACGCTTTCCCTGTGACCCCAACTTCTCCCCGCCTTCTGGGAAATGTAGTTCTTCATCCCCACGACACGCCACTTTCCTGGAGCTTGCGGGCCGGCCTCTCGAGGAACCAAGAACTACAAGTCCCAGAATCATATGCAGTAGCGACTGCGGATTCCGAGGAGGGCTCGCGGCAGTGTCCTCTTGGATTCGGTGTTCCCCCTTTTCTCTTTGGTCCCCCGCTGCTAGGGCACCCGGCCTGCCAACCGACCTGACGTCCATGTCTTTAGCCGGCGCCAGCAGGGCCAGCGGCTGCAGCTCCTAGGTGTAAACAGCTTCCGGCGCAGCCCCCTGCAGCCTTGGCCCAGGCTCCAGTCCCCCCACCCCACCCTGTCTGAGATTTTCGTTTTCCCGGCTACTCCTGGGGACTCGGGGCCCCGCGCTCGCGGCTTCCACGGTTTTTATCCCAGCCAGAAACACCTCCTGCACTTTCATTCACTCACCAGGTGTTTGCTGACTTGAATACAGTAGCCAACAACACAAGATCCAGGCCCTTACTGTCTCCTAACGGAAGTAATGAGACAAAACATGAATAAAGGATTATAACTTGTATAAATACTAGAGTGGAAAAAACTGGGGGCTAGGTTAGATGATACCAAGGGAGAGGTGCCAGACCGCAAGGTGTGGGGGCAGGGCAGACTTGAAAAAGGGACTGCTGGTGCAAAGACCAGGATACAGGGCAGAATTAGGGGCACTTCAGGAATCCAGGAAAGGCTGGTGAGCCGTGGAGGAGGGGCAGCGAGAGGGAAGGATTTAGGGGAAGTAGGAGGAATTTTAGTTGGTTGGGTGCCAGGAGAGTCCCTTTTGCAGCCAGGTGTTAAATACGTATATAGGGGAATAGACTCAAGAGATTCCCATATTTTGCCAAGTCACCCAGGCAGCTGGGAATCCAGACTTATGGGATGCCTGCAGCTTCCTGATTCAGGCTGCTTACTGCACTCCACTTTGGCGCTGGGCATCGGCCAGTCTCCAGCATGTACAGAGCAAGCCTCTAGATGCTCCGTTGTGCTGCCTGCTGTTACAGACAGGCCCAACCTTTACAATAGCCCTAGGATGGGATGTGCCCATCAAAGAGACAGGAAGGACCCTGGCTTTGGAGCATGCACTAACTCTGTTGACTTTCAGTTGTTTAAGTAAAAGGACAATACATATTGGTAAAAATCAACACACAGGACTGAATTCACCACACAGTGCTGTGGGAACTGCTTAAATAACCACTTGATGTGACAGGGCTGAGTACACAACAGGTGCTCAAGGGCTGGTTTGCCCACTGCAGCATTGTTATAAGTGTTAGGAGATGCCCTCTGGGGGTCCAGGCAGGGCCTGCTGGAACTAGAGCCAATTCTGAGTAGCCCACCAAGGGGGAGGGCTCTTACAGAGAATTCCCCAGATGTATTTCACAGAAGCCCCAGTTTTCTCCTGACCTACCTGACTGCCTCTCTTGTTTTATTGAGCCAGGAAAATGAGTTTTTGTGTGTTTGGTTTATTTGAGAACAAAGAAGGTAAATATCAAGAGGTCACACCAGAGCTGGTGCAACTGGAGGAATCTACTCCTCCACCCCAACCTGCCCACTGCCACTTCACAAAAAGAAAACTCCCAAACATGCAGAAACCAGACTACAGCTTCAAATGTGATCGGGATTGTTAAGATCAAAAGCCTCCTGCTGAAGATATTTTGGGGGCAGAATTCTTTGCCTGGCCTTTTGAAAACTCCCTGGTCTGAGAGCCTGCAGGGAAATAATTACCCAGGCCAACCTCTTTCACTAAAATATACCCCCCACTTTTTTTTTTTTGGTATCCTTGGCAAATAAGAAAGTCAGTTGTGTCTACTTACCACAAGTGATGGAAGGTTCACCACTCCATAAGGTAGCCTCCTCCACTGTTGCAGGGGATGTTCATTCGTAATACAGTCACAAAGTGACCCTTCCTGAAGCTTTAATAAATGGGCAGCTGACACCTTGTCCCAGGCTATCAAAGTTGTCTCTCTTTGCCCCTTGATAGCTCTTCAGTTATGGAAAGCCACTTTCACATCTCCAAGTTGGCTCTAGGGCAGACAATTCCAGATGACCTCTCTGGCCAAGAGTTTGACACTTGCAATGAGGGGATCAAAGCTAAAAGCCATTTCTGCCTTTCATCATTGCCTTCTTCCTTTTTCCTACCTCCCCCAGTGGCGCTGGGTCTGGCTGCATGACTCCCTGCAATCACTGAAGTGGGCTTTTATTGCTAAAATTAACATTTGTTATTGGGTTGCTTTGAGTTAAACCCAAACCTTTCCTGATTCTGAATTTGCTTTCTGTTCATAAAATAGGTATAGTAAGCCTGGCTGGTGTGGCTCAGTGGACTGAATGCCAGCCTGCAAACCAAAGGGTTGCAGGTTTGTTTCCCAGTCGGGGCACATGCCTGGTCGAGGCCAGGTCCCAGCTGGGGGTATGCTAAAGGCAACCACACATTGATGTTTCTCTCCCTCTCTTCCTTCCTTTCCCTCTCTCTAAAATAAATAAATAAAATATTTTTTAAAAAATAGGTATAATAATATCTCTTGAGCACAACCATAAGGATTGGAGGTAGTTATGTTACCAGACAGGGGCCTGGCCCAGAGTGGGTCTGCCTAGGGCCAGCTGTAGTGTGTGGGTTCTTGTAGTGTGTGGCTCCTTGCTTTCCTACTTCATGTAGGAAAGATTTCACAACATGAGTCCAGGTGACTATGAGGATGCGTTTATTAAAGCTGAGCACAGTGAAACAAGGAAGGGTTTAGTATAAAAGAAGTAATAGGAGAGCCTAGGCTGGGCTGCCTGAGCTCACTGGGAAGTCAGAGAAAAGGGGGTCTTCAGGACAGATTCAGGGGATCAGCATGGGACAACCTGCCAGCTGCCTATTGCCCTAGAGTTTAGGAGATGCATACCTGTGAAGAAAAAAGTGGGGAAGGTAGGTCAGGGAGAAAGAGAATGATACAGACTGCTGCCCGGAGGGAGAGCACACTGCACTGGTTCCTTTGTCTTCAGGCTTTTATGTCTCTCTTGCAGGCAGGAATCCTAGGGGAGGTCTCAGGGGAGGGTTTCAGCAGAATATTAATCAGTTCTCCAGGGTCCTGGTCTCCACTGATTGGTCAGTGCCAGAGCACGGGGTCTTTAGTCATTGCATTTGGTTCTGGCATTGCCCACCTGGTTTTGCTACTTTTCTGGGCCTGGAGCTCAAATACAACTGAGGCCTAGATGTCATCTCCATGGAGGAAAGGCCAGGGAGAAGAGGTTACCTTGAGGGTGATGTCCTTGTTTTCCATTTTTGCCCCCTGCCAGGCCTTCCTCCCGTGACTGTCTGTACCTTGCTCAACCATTGTGTTCAATCATCTGTCTCAGTTTCCCTACCCCATTGGCCAAGGAATTTTCCTGATTTCTTACTATCCTGTCTCATTCCCCCCTCAGAGACTTTCATCCCTAAAATCTTTTAGGGGTGACGGAGGGAGGAGGGTTTCTTTCTCTTCAGTAACTGCTTCCTGATGATAAGGATGTGGTCCCTGTCTGTGTAGGGTATGGAAGTCTCTCCCTGTCTGATCTAAGGAGACAAAGGGATAGGATCTGAGATTGGTACAGAAAGGCTATTAGCTAATTCTTCCAAAGTAGTGGTAGGCTGGAATCCCCAAAGCATCATGAGATGGAATTGTTTCCAATTCAATCATCTAGTCCTGACAACAAGTCATTTCAGCCAAACCATTGAGTCTCATTTCAGGAAGTTCAGGCAATGCAGATGGACTTCTAAAGTGTGGCCCATACTGTGTAAACATGCAACGGGATAAATAAGGTCATAGTATACACTATATGAAAACAGAACACAGCAAATCAAAAACCAGTTTCTGAGTCTTCAAGACTGTCAGTTGAGAAGACTTCCAAATGCAAGCATTTTGCTGGAATGAAATTAAGAATTTACAATCTGATACAACTTCTTTTTCTGCAGTTTAAATAATTCTGGTGATGTCATCAGGTGCTCAGGTAAATTCTGTGTGGCTTATCATACAGAAGCTCTGCATCAGGAGCTCTCAATAATTCCAAGTCAAGGGATGAAAGAAAAAATGAAACATTCATTTGAAAGAAAACTAGAAAAATTCAGAATCGAATTCAGGATACAATTCAGTTTGTAGGTGAAAAATAAAACTTTAACTACAGTCCAATATTTACTATTGGGCATTGTGATTTCCACTGAAACACAATTTCTTTCCATAAAATAACCCTCATTTTTCATCAACCAGACTAAAGTCTAGTTTCTATTTGGCCTGGATATTTGCATGAACACAACAAGAATAGTAATTAATCATATAGGCTCTTTCAATTTTGCTTTTTTGGAATTTTACAAGGAACCTTCAGATTGAGCTTTAGTCAGCCTCTAGGGGCAAAAAAGCCAGCCACACAGTTGTTATCTGACTTTGCCTGCAATACCTGTAGGTTTGGGTGTATTTCTCAAGTTCTTGAGGTCCCCAAATGTCTTGAGGCTCTTTCCTTGCCATCTTTCAGGAAAGCAACCTTCATTCCTTATCTGGAAAGGCTATCATGAACCATGTGATTCATGGCCATTTCTCCAAGGGGCTCTATTGGCTTCAAAGTCTATCTTAATTCCTTAAGGCTTTCTGGTGACATCTGGAGTCCAGGAATGACTCTTTCAGACATGACATTCCAGACAAAGACTTGGCTAATAAAACCACATTTGGAAACTGGTACTGCTATAGACAGAACAGATTCTTATTGGATTTATGCAAACAAACATATCGCCATGAAAATAATACTCGTTAAGAGTTGCCAAATTTTGGAAGGTGAGAAAAATATAAATTCTTCAGTGTTACTTATGTGGGTATAATTTATCATATTGCTCTAGGGGAACAAAACAAGTTTCCTTATATCTGGAAAACAAGATTTCAAGTTATCAATATTTTGAACAAAGTCATAAGAATAATAATTATCT